TATAGCGAGTGTATACTTACAGGCGAATTAATTACCAATTTGACGCATGAAATTACTGTGTAATTTGATTACGGTACTACTCAATTGATTGAAATCGATCAATTATCGTATGTTGAAAGTCAATTCTCGCAATCGACCTTTAGTTTCGATTGAAAGGTAGAAACAGCAAGATGTAGTATACATTTATACAGAGTTGCAGCTTAGCAAAAAGATGAATGTAGGAGTCATATTGACGTATACTCCAATTTCTCTCACTAATCGTACACAAATCAATCCAACATTTTAATTCATCAATACAATTTCAAACAATTAGTTATTCATAAACAAGATAAATGAACATCTTTAAGCAAGAACAGCAAATTATGTTTTGCTAGTAATTTATACAAGTCTCCCACTGTACAATGTACATTTTTTGCCTCTATAAGCCATGTTAAACACGTAGAAATGTTGTCGCCCATAAATAATTATTATTATTACAACTATGTACTATTATTATTCTAATTATCACAATATTATCCTACGTTAGTACACGGACAACGGAAGTGGTGCTATCGCTTTAATTTCGTGACGGATCAGCAATGCGTGACAGTACAAGTATAGTAAATAATGCTAAAATGAGGATAGTCATACTGATCGCCATTAATAAAGGATCATTGGAAGAATTTTGAGTGTGGCGGTGTAGACTTGAAGATGTTTCAAGCTTCATTAAAAGTCATTTGTATACTGCATAATAGGTAACAACCGAATGGAAGAAATGAAAAAAAAAAAATCACTCCCCAGTAAATACTGCAAAGTATAGACAGCACAATATCTGGATTACTATCCCTGCCAGACTAGAATAGAAGCCTTTTTTAAGAGAATTTCTCACTTCAAAATGTCGATTGCAAAGACAAAAACCGATGACGCCTTGCTAAAATGCAAAGTGCAGCATTATCATTTCAAAACAATGTTGCATTGATTTACTGTTGATCTAAATAGAACTATACGACTAAGTACGATATAGTGATTGTCATTAGACAGTAAACAATTCAATCGATCAACGATTATAATTACAGTTCAAGGCGATTTGAGCGTAATTTGCCGTTGATGTCACGTACTACAGACGTGGAGAACATTGGCTACTATTTACAATACTCATAAAGTACCCCATTTTTTTTTTTCAGTTATTTGTACAGTTAGGGAACTGATAGTATCGGGCAACCGTAGTAAACTATTGAATCTACGCCGCATACCCGTCAGTAATCCCATATTAATACAATCCATTCATCGGTGTTGTTAGCCCGATGGAAATGGAGGTTTGTTATCTACTTACCAATTGGAATGATCGAATTGAACTCAAGACCAAATAATAATATGTATTACAAGATCCTTGACCAGATGGATTTATTAGAATGATGGTATAGTATCTGGTTCTACATGTACGCTTATTGTCGTTTGATGACAACAACTGAAGTGATCTTTGCCCATGGTACAACACACATCCCACTACAATTAGAATGGGGAGAAAACAATTTCTTTGATATTTTTATTATTTTGAAATTTCGAATCTGCTCCCAAAATGGAAACATTATTTTCGACGAATGGAATATGATCAACCTAAGTCTATCTGGTAAATTAAGTCGATAATAATCATGGTGATCATGTATTGACGACTGCTACAAAAATAATAAAACTATTATCCATTCTTACCTAGTATAATCAAAAATCCAACAGTTAGAACAGCAAAATTGTAAACGATAGTAGCGATGTTGCAGTATCTCCTATTATGTCTGATCGCCATTCTTTGATCCAATTGTAGTAACGCTGCTTTCGGCTTGTATTGAAGTTTTTCCAATCCTATGACATATTACACTTAAAATTGTATCGTAGGCAGTAATGTTTAAGTGAAAAGAGATCTAGGATGCAGCATTAGAAATGAAGAAGGAAAGTGCGTGTTATCCGATTTTGATAACGTGTCGTTTGTCGTGGACGATGATGGACACTTTTGTTGGTAGAAAGTATCTTTTTCGATGGGGTCTATAATCGACAGGCAAAGTTTTGTCCTTGTACTAATGGATGGACACGTTGGCGAGCAAGCTTTGCTATTGTCGATCGATGCAAGTGCTTGCAATAGTTTGTAAAGTGGAATGATTTTGACATAAAAATGATGCAGAATTGAACTTGATCAACACGATATAGTCCACGTTTCAGACAGCACACTGTATAGTAGTATACTATCGCGTGTCACCGTGTATACCACCGGCAACGACGATGAAAACGATCAAACCTGCCAAGCACAACGATTGTACGGCGATATCCACGGGTAATAATGATGCTCTTTTCCTCACTAATCAATACGTCGACATGATTCCAGTAGCAACCACAATTGAATCGATTGGAAAGCTTGCAGTCCCCAATCTAATGAGAACTTGTATAGTGGCTGAGACAAGCCATTAATCCCGGCAAAATGTTCCAAAGTTGCACCTCTTATAACTGTCTACCATGGACTCCTCGATCGTTACCACCACTTTCTAGTTTTCTTTCTACTGTCCGTGTCGGAGATCATCATCATTCATCAGTCTATCAACAGTACAGTACTCCACGTACAGTACAAAGGTGCTTGACTGTACACTGTACTGTACTGTAGGAGTCCATCAAATGGTATCGTCGTCGATCATCAATTCAAATTGTCCACTAATACAGTACAGTACCCATCAGTCTATCAACAGTACAGTACTGTACTGTACTCCACGTACAGTACAAAGGTGCTTGACTGTACAGTACAGTACACTGTACTGTAGGAGTCCATTAAATGGTATCGTCGTCGATCATCAATTCAAATTGTCCACTAATATATACAGTACTGTACTGCACAGTACCCATCAGTCTATCAACAGTACAGTACTCCACGTACAGTACAAAGGTGCTTGACTGTACACTGTACTGTACTGTAGGAGTCCATCAAATGGTATCGTCGTCGATCATCAATTCAAATTGTCCACTAATATATACTGTACAGTGTACAGTACCCATCAGTCTATCAACAGTACAGTACTCCACGTACAGTACAAAGGTGCTTGACTGTACACTGTACTGTACTGTAGGAGTCCATCAAATGGTATCGTCGTCGATCATCAATTCAAATTGTCCACTAATATATACTGTACAGTGTACAGTACCCATCAGTCTATCAACAGTACAGTACTCCACGTACAGTACAAAGGTGCTTGACTGTACACTGTACTGTACTGTAGGAGTCCATCAAATGGTATCGTCGTCGATCATCAATTCAAATTGTCCACTAATATATACTGTACAGTGTACAGTACCCATCAGTCTATCAACAGTACAGTACTCCACGTACAGTACAAAGGTGCTTGACTGTACACTGTACTGTACTGTAGGAGTCCATCANATGGTATCGTCGTCGATCATCAATTCAAATTGTCCACTAATATATACTGTACAGTGTACAGTACCCATCAGTCTATCAACAGTACAGTACTCCACGTACAGTACAAAGGTGCTTGACTGTACACTGTACTGTACTGTAGGAGTCCATCAAATGGTATCGTCGTCGATCATCAATTCAAATTGTCCACTAATATATACTGTACAGTGTACAGTACCCATCAGTCTATCAACAGTACAGTACTCCACGTACAGTACAAAGGTGCTTGACTGTACACTGTACTGTACTGTAGGAGTCCATCAAATGGTATCGTCGTCGATCATCAATTCAAATTGTCCACTAATATATACTGTACAGTGTACAGTACCCATCAGTCTATCAACAGTACAGTACTCCACGTACAGTACAAAGGTGCTTGACTGTACACTGTACTGTACTGTAGGAGTCCATCAAATGGTATCGTCGTCGATCATCAATTCAAATTGTCCACTAATATATACTGTACAGTGTACAGTACCCATCAGTCTATCAACAGTACAGTACAGTACAGTACTCCACGTACAGTACAAAGGTGCCTGACTGTACAGTACACTGTACTGTAGGAGTCCATCAAATGGTATCGTCGTCGATCATCAATTCAAATCGTTCACTAATAAATACAGAACTCGCTGACCTCCGTTTTGTTCTTGTACAACCAGTACAAAGCAATAGAAAACAAACAAACAAAATGAAGATACTGTACCATCCAAAAGGACCTCAGGGTTTCTACTGTAAAGTACAGTCTTGGACTACTCCTTCTTGCCGGTAAGATTGAGTAAGTCCATGGTACAGTATAGAGCGCTGAACGATTGGACAATGGACACTGTTGGTCAATACGTCAGCCGGTCAGCGTCACAAATTGAAGGATTGGACTAGTCAAGGATGGATCGTTGGCACATTGAACTTAACCCTTAGTCCATGGGTACAGCATGCACCCAGGACTACGATCGTCCTAACTTGTACCATGTACTCCAAGCTTTGCATCATACTGTAGACTACTGGAAAAAGAGAGACCTCGAGAGACCCTAGAGGTGAGATCGAGTAGTCTATCAATACTAACTAGTCCAAGGCTGCATTCCATTTTACAGCTGCCATGGACTTCTAGATGCCTCCTAGGGGCTGGAAGCCTTTCAAACTTGCTTTAAACATACTGTATTACACAAGTTGTACCGATCACTTGTCCACGATGTACAGTACTCAATCAACAATAGGATTGTACGGAGCACTGCTGTACAGTACTCAATCAACAATAGGATTGTACGGAGCACTGCTGTACAGTACTCACTGTACAGTGTGTACACTGTACATTGTAAAGTACCGCACTGCGCTTGCTTGTACGGACAGAACAAGCTCTACGTCATATTATGACATGATCCATTGACATGATCCAGCAAGACCCATTTAATAATCGTAAAGGGTATTGGACTATTGGTCCGACTGTCCGAGATCCGAGTCAAAGTGCAGAACAGTTTTTACTGGAAAGTTGACATTACTGTACAGTACTGCATGAAGTGCAATCATTGTGTATCTT